GATGTTTATGATGATAGCATACAGCTGTGTTTAAGACAGAAAGAGACAACTTTACATGTTAGACACAAAGAAAAAAAATTATGAATGTTTATTATGCAGATTACCAACCGTTGTTAAGGCTTATTGTGTAAAAGTTAACAATCAAGGGCATCAGGTGGTTGTCATTCTATTCTCATGACCAGGACTCGACACTAACTTTTCAACTTGCTACCCAAGTGGCTAGTGACAACCTAGATGTTACAACAATTTCAGTTTGTTTACTAACCAAACTGGCTAGTGGAAATTAAAAACCACTGGCCAAAACTGAATTTCGTCTAGTCTGTGGCTAGTTGGCTATGGTTAGTGTTGAGCTCTGATGACAATAATGTGTGATCCAGGAGCGATATTGTATCTGGGAGAAGTAAGCTGCTATCCATTCTTGGTGTGAGAATCACATTTACTCTTTAGTAAACTCTGAATTATGTGCATGATTTTGGAGAGAGGCCCATTAGACTTTTATTGCCCATAGGTATTCAACCGTAAAGTCTAAAACTTTCTTTCTCCATTTCAACAGGATGTCTTTGATCAGTTATGGGCTGCTGAAGATTTTGAGGTATTCAAGCGACTGATGACTCAGAAAAATATTGAGCTTCAACTACAGGCCCTGCAGCTTCTACAGCAAATTCATAATGTCCAAATGCCTGTGCCAGTGACTATGCAAAATCAAATGCCAATGCCTGTTCATATGGCTCCACCCAGTTCTGTTCCACAGACTCAAGGGACAGATGAAGATGCCATCATGCAGGAGGTTTTGAAAAGATCTAAGGAAGAGTTTGAGTCTAAACATAAAGGCGCTACGGCTAAACCAGAGCAAGAATTTGAAAGGACTTTGGCAGAATCTGCAGAAGAAAGTAAAAGGTAACAAAGGTTTAAATTATTTGTATTTTAATGTGTCATTTTGTAGAAGGTTGCAATGTTTATCTGACTATGACCTACATGTTTGTCAAAAGAAATTTCAGCAAAGCCTGCTTTTAAAATGGCGAAGTAAAAAAAGTTATTCTAGAGAAAGGTTTCTCAATGAAATAAAGAGTAGAAGTAAAAGTAATAGTAATCAAAGTTTAATGTCTTTACATGGGGCATGGTTACCCATATTGCCTGAGCCAGAGGCTCATGTATGAAACGCAAAACAACAACCCACCCATCTCACCCCAGGGTAGGACATCCATCACACAGTAACCTCGTGCATGGGAAATTAACGTCTCCTGCCCCTAACCCTGCTGGAGATGGGACCTCCTTTTTATTCGTCCCTATCGGAGAAGACTGGAATATCTAAACCATTTCTTGATGTTATAGAAAGGTAGCATATTCTTCTCAATTATTTTAAGACCTTGAGTGTCGGTCCAGCCAGGGCTCCAACCTTCTACCTCCCGCACATCAGTCAAGCGCTCTATCCATTGAGCTAACCAGGAGGTGGTTATAAAGTGAGACATATAGATTAAGTAGCACACCATAGATTGATTGCATTTCTCTGAAGAGCTGGCACATGTACTAATACTAGATGGCAATATTCTTGTCAACTAAGTGTTTATTTTGAATTGAATTCTATCTAATCTTCTCTCTGATCATCTGAAGTCTTCTCCAATGCTCCTCTAGAGAATCTTTGCTTTTGTCAACACTGGAAAATGTAATTGATGAAGAAGGTTCAAGGTGAAATGATTGAAAATAGTTGAAGCACAAATTTATATCACACCAACCACATTCCTACAGAGCAGCAATATAGTTTGAGTTGCTCTGTTGTAATTTTTTTTTTTTTTTTAGTTTAGTTCACTTGTCACCCATGCAAGGTCGTTAGGGATGGTGGAGTTACTGCACTGTTGTTTGTTTGATTTACTGCACTTGTTTGATTCAGGGGGGGTCTTACAAGGAGAAATTAGATGCTAGTGACTATCAGGGGCCAAACAATAAACTCCTCCCGACTTAGGACCGGGTTGTTAATCCTGGCAGGTTACCCTTCAGCAGAATATTTTGAAAAGTTGCCATTACTCATTTATACTCTGGTTTACAGTTTACTCCCATGAGTGACCGAGACTGAATTTCTCCTTACAATATCAATACAATATCAAGCAGGCAAGTGATGAGAATAGAGAAAAATGTCAATTAGGAGATTATTAGTTGATCCAATACCAAATTCTCTGAACCCACATCATAAGAATGGTATGGCAGACAGTAAGGAGAATTGCTACTGAGATCTTGGCAGTGAAAAGGTTCAAGAGAAGCATTTTGAGAATTAAGTGTCTTGGTAAAGAGAAACAAACTGACAGTGTGTAGTGGTTTGAATGCAAACTCTTGTGCACTAAATCTTGTGGCTACCATATCTCCTTACAATCTTAAACAACCCAAAAGAAAGACAAATGCTTTCTCCTATTAACACAAAGAGTGGAGTACTTCTTTTTCTCTCCTCTTGTAAAAGTTAAAATTCACTGTTTATGCCTTGAAATTCCTGCAACCCAACCCTACCAGCTAACTGCCTTCTCTTTTACCCGTATGCTCTGTCACATTCTTTTTCAATTTTTTTAGTCCTCTGAGCCTTTGTTCTCTACACTTCTAGAACATCTTTATCTTTGCCAACACTGGAAAGTGTAGTAAAAGAAGAAGACTCCACGTGACATACATAGGTTTTAAAAATGCTTATTTCTCTTAATGTGGATGTTTTGCTGATATTAGGTCATCAGTACTCACACTTTGTTTTGAAGTTAATCATTTAAACCTTTACACTCTATAGTTCGTCTGCATTTTCTCCATACTGCTCACTATATATCCCCCAAGGTGCTGTCAAGGAGAATTTGATTGAGATCAAAAGCATCTTAAGTAAGGGAGAATTTCCTCTATTCTCTTGTTTACATCTTGTATTTCTGCCAATTTTAATTTAATTATTTTTGTTTCTGTTTTTTGATAAGGTTAGCTGAGATAGCCAAGAGAGAACAAGATGAGTTAGAAAAAGCACTACAGGCATCACTGGAGGCACAAAAGAAGCAGACAACCGAGGCGGAGAAATTGCGGGATGATGTAAAAAAATCACCATCAAAAGGTTCTCCTCAGCCCACCTCTGCTGAGACCAAACCTGCACCCAAGCCATCCCCCTCAGAAAGTAAAGCGGCGACTAAAGCTTCTCCCGCTGCGAGTAAGAGAGCACCTAAGCCCTCCCCTGTGAAATCTACGCCACCCACTCAGCCTAACAGTCAAACTTCTGGGTTACCACCCCTGATAGTACAAAAAAAGAAAGCGGATACACCAACTAATGCCGCAGAAGAATGGTTAAAGAGCGCCAAGGAAGACGCCGCCAAGAATACCAGTGTCACGCCAACTCAGGTAAACTTATCTGTCAATTACTTGGGTGTGCGTGGGTGCGCGCGCGTGAAAACTGGTTATCACGTGGGCAGGTACAGCCAATAAAGTAAAATTGCGTGTCTCTCCGGAAACATCCTTTTGTCTTCGTTTCGCCTGATTATAAATCCCCTTTGGGTCTCAGGTTTTATCGGGTACTTCATTTAGATGTGGCTTCCAGTATTTTTGTCTAGGTGTGAGAAGGACTTCAAAATTTGCTTCGCTTTGCTCTGTTATTGGTGAAGAAAACTCGTGCGATCCCCAAATTGCGACTTGTGCAATCACGTTATCCCGCGCTCAAGGCGGTTAACATTAATCTGTATTCTAACCCGAGTCGCCCCAAGCTAGGTAACGTGTACAACCGCGTCACGCAATATCAAACATGGCTTCAAGTAGGTAGATTTGTGTGGGATTTCAAATCATTTTCCCAACAAAGTTATTGTATTGAAATGTTTCTATAAAAAAAAAAAAAGCCTCACCTCATTTTCAATAGTCCATAGTTGTTCTCTGTGTGGTTGTTTTCTTAATTTAGTGTGGTTTGAGCGATTTCTTTCCTCCACTGTTCTTTCTCTCATAAAGAAATAGCTACTTTTGATGGCGAGCTTTGCACTGATTAACTGGTTACACCTTTCAAGGGGTTTGGAATTGTGTGACACTTAGATTGATAGCGTTCTGAGTTTGTGTTACTTTCTCAGTATCTTTATGTAGAGTGTCACGCCAATAAATATAACCTTCTTACATACTGCTGCATGTTTAGCTCTGTAGTACCATTGTCACACCAGGGCAGGGACAGAACCCGAGACATACTCGGTAACTATTGTCACGCATCTTGCTTTGAAAACATCCTTTACCGAGAAACACCATAGCGCTTCTGTCACGCCCGCAGGGAGCCGTCTAAATTTACTGTCGAGCGCTTATAATCCAAGTCACTTTAAATTTCCATCGATCGTTCCTCTTTTTCATTAACAGTCGAAGGAGATAAGCGAAGAAGAGATGAAAAGACGAGCTGCCTATCTTAAACAACAGCGAGACAAGCTCATGGATCTGAAGAGGCAAGAACGCGAGAAGAACTTGGCGAAGTACACCGAACAACAGCCGAAGGCCCGGCCGACGTCTTCTCGAGCAGCGCGTCGGGTCACTGCCGGAGAGCAGGTCGCTTCGCCGGCTGCAAAGAGCGACGAAGATGAAGGAAAGAAACTAGCAATGCGGCGAGCTCTTGCGGACGTTTTGAAACGAGAAGTCGTCGATAAAAATTAATTACTAGCGAACTAATTTTTTGTAGGTTGAGCTTTAGCAAAGTCTTTTTTTAAGTTTTTGTTGTATGAGAATTTTACAGGAAGCGAATATTTTTTCGGGTAAACTTCTTACACGAGAAGTTTCTTCTTGGGCTAAAGTTTAGAAATTCAAGGTATTAATTTAATTTTCAGAGTCATTCGGTGTGCTTCAAAGTTTTTTCTATTTATCTCTTTTTTTATTCTCGTTTCAAGCCTAATATATCTTCATCCTGTTTCTATTACCTTAAAGACACATTTTCAGATTATAGTCACTAATTATGGAATATTTTGTCCCAATGTGGACAGTGATGGAACTGAATTCAACATCGTAAAGGAAACATCTCCATTACTTTTTTTTTACAGCAYTACTAGTACGTTAGCAGAGAACTTCAGACTCATATTTACTAAAATGCAAGCTAGAATTGAGAAAAAAAAACCTTCTTCATCATGATACCAGAAAAAATCCTCAAAATGTTTTCAGGTTTTGGAAAGCCAAGGGTTTCTAGGACTTTTAAAAACTTGAAAAGATTCAAAAATGGATAAAGTGCTTGGAGAAGTCTTAAAAACTGATCGAATTTACTTAAGTCACAAGCAATAGCCAATCTAAGTCAGAAATTACGACAAGTTTTGAACTGAAACTGAAATAAATGCCCCTTCAGTCGTTAACCTTTTTAACTCCCAGAAGTTATTGACATGTAACTTCTCCCCATAATATCTAAACATCCTGCAAACAGGTGATGAGAATACTCAAACTTATCTTGATCTAACAACAAATTTTCGTAACAAAATTACACGGAAATGAGTAGCAGTTAGAGGGGAGAATGAACTATCAGATCTTGGAGGTTAATGGGTTAATTGCGCATGAAGACACAAACTGTAGTAAATTTAAGAATGACAAGTGCTATGTTTTAAAGTTCACAAAGCAACCAGGTGGAAAATCAAACACGGTTTAATGCTACTCTGGTTTAAAGAGTTAATAAATGTAACCGAGAAGTTACAGTTCATAGACTCGACGTTCTTGAACAAAAGCTCATCTTTCAAACCGGCGGTCTAAATTCCACAGGTATCAACGAACGCACTTCATTCCACCAATTTATTCGTGTTTTTCTCGTTGCCATGTTCCCACTAATCTTGTAGCTCCTTTTTCTGCCTTTAAAAGCACACACAACCCACAATTCCTCTATTCGCTCCGACGAAGGGCTAACGCTCGAAACGTCAGCTTTTATAATCGTAACGGTGGCCAATTTACCATTTCAACTTTGTTGATATATTCAAATTCGTTCCTATACTATCCTCTAGTGCCTTCATCAGGGGTGATCTAATCGTTGCCACAAAAGGTTCTTTTTTATGCTCACTAATTGGCTGCCCTCGTTTCTGACGAGGTATAAATAGACGTCACAGACAAATACCTCGCTTTCGACTCTCCCACCCTATTTGCAATAAAAAGTCCGTAGCTCAGTAAAATTTTACTCGAAGACAGAGGAAAGAAAATATGTTTCGGACGTCCTAAAGGTAAATGGTTATACAAAAACATTTTTTCCATAACTACAAGAAACCAGTTAAAACTAGTAACACTGACTCCTGACAAGAAGGAACCAGCGATTGGTTATGTTAAGGAAGCATTTGCGCAGATATACCCCTGGGTATCGTTTGCCCACTGGGCTCCTCAAAGGCAGAAAATTGCCCGTCGCCACCTTTCAAACTTCCCAGAAAACTTTCGGTTCAGAAGGACACTGCATTTGGTGCTGTTCTGTCATATTGTAAAATCGTTTTTGAAATTGACGCAGTTTTCTCTTGCCCACCGGTACAGCACAACAGNAACTGAGTTTGGTTCAGTTAGAAATTGAAGATACTGTTTCTTTGTGAACTTTTCGATATGCTTAGCCAAAGTAACGTGCGATTAACGGAGAGAGTGGCATGGTAATTAGAAGACCGCAACATTACGATTTAAGCAGCTGCTTTGACCGAGTGCTCGCTGAAATACTTTGGGGAAGCTTTTTGAGTTTCCTAACCTTAATCGTGTTTTATGCCCCCGTCAAACTGACAACCTTCGATAGAAACCGAAAATTTTATGTAGATACAACCTACATTGTGTCATATTGCGCTGCTGAAAGTTTTAGCGGTGTGAATATATCGAAAGCTCCTTTTGGCTGATTGTGAAGCCCAATAGGCAGAAAAATATCAGAGGAACCCGTTCTAGTCACCGAGGGGACGCATTTTGTTCTCAAACAACGAGGTGCCCTTGCCTCAATATTTTGCGACCATTTACGTCATCCAGAGCTGCGGAGGATTACACTGTCCGATCAAAACTCTACAGGATGATTAGTGAAAGATAAAGCAGCTAATACACCAATGACATTTGAGGAAATTGTAATTGTTATGATTAACAAGATTATAAATCTGTTCAGGATGGTAAAAGATAAACATCTCAAAGCTTGCTGATTATTTCCCCAAAGGCTCGTCATTTGGAAGCTTTACTCGGGCTCCCCTAAAAACCCATAAATTTTGTCTCTTTCCTCGATAAAAATCGATATCAGAAAAAAAATTCCTCGAAGAAGGTACAGAACTATGTTGACTTCTTTCTCAGAATAGATTTCCAGCTTTTTAGAAATACTCGATCCTATAACCATGGTTTCATTTCAGAGATAAAGATGGCGAAGAAAATAAGATATAGTTAAATGAAAAGTCATAGATGTAAACTGGTGTAGACACAAACTAAACCCAACAGTGATAAACCTGGGTTAATTATTTGATCTCTTTTAAAAGTACTCACTTCTCGAAACACTTCACAGGAAGTCATCCAAAATGCACAGGACGATTGTACGAGCCTTACGCAATATATGCCGTGAAGAGGGTGAGTTGCCTACAGACAAACCTATAATTCTGGAATCATATGAGGAACATGCTGAAGACCACAATCAGGCCGAAAGTGTAGAAGTCCCAAGAATCTTGCAAGAGGACCTAGAACGCATAAAACCAAGCAAGCCACAGTCCAACCATCGTCTATTGTGGCTGGCCATTGTCACGTGTTTGATTTTTATCACTGCCCTCCTTGTGGGTCTGCTGATATTGTCCAAGAAACTAAGTCATGGGTGTGGATGTTCAGAAGAAAGTGGTCAGTTTTCCATAAATTTTTGGCAAGTCCGGATATTTTACTCTAAAGCCTCAACTTAAAAAGAGTAACCATATCTCTAACGAAGAATTGTTTCTATTTCAGGGCATCGACGCTTTAAAAGTCAACCACCCAGTGGGATTTCGTCAGAGGAGAATGGGACAAATATTTCTGATTTGGTAAAAACAAGATAATAAACGATGAGAAAGTGCTCCTTTTTATTATGAATCGAATGGAGAACTCAGGAGCGTGGTTAGGATTTTTCAAAGAGAGGGGGTGGGGTGGGGTGGGATGAGGAGAAGTTTGAGTTAGGAATTTCCGTCAGGTGGCTTATACCGCTGCTTTTCCCATCAGTGGGCTCATACTTTGCTATTGGTGCAAAAGTTAAACAGGACAGGCTCTCTTTTGCATGTCAATAATGAAACCGCTTTAGTTACTGAACAATAATACAAATGGTTCACACTTAGGGCTACTCATTTTATTCACCATCCCTAACGGAGTGTAAGCTTTTACCTGAAAGAAAAAAAAAAATACGCTGAGCGAAGCTTTGCTTTGTATCTTTACCTTCATGTTTTAGGTTAAAAGCATCAACTCTGATTTGAACTCTCTGTGGGCTGCAATTGATGGAACAAAGAGCGACCTGACCGCAAAATTGAATAGGACTGTATCATCGGTAAAGATTTTACTGTTTCTTACTTCATGGATACTAGAAATGTCTTTTGGTTATAATGAATTTCCTATGTTTAACGGTTACAATGAATAAACTTAGACTTTTCAAGGAGAGTTTCTCGCTCTTTCATTTCGTGAAAACCCCTTTTAATTTGAATAATATTTATCTCACGCTTTTCCAGTTAACTTACTGTTAATTTTTATCATTTTTGACGGAGCAAATAACACATGGCACAGCCAATCAGATGAATGCATTTGTGATAGAACGCTGAGGACGCTCTTAGATTTTTTCTAATACCAAGGATGAGGAAGATGACCGGAGACTATTGAAACTGTAAACTTCTGACTGAATAAAAATAAAGAAAACGAAAAATGCTGAACGAATAAAGGGGATGAGTTTCTAAAGAAACTATGGTAAGGCATTAGTTGGAGTAACATGGTAATTTTGGTTTTATCAACTGAGTTGATATTGTAAACTGGCAACTGTTAAGAGAATCAAAGCTGACGTTTCATGGCCCTTCGT